GTTAAAATATATGTTTATCATATAAAGTCTAATGTTACAACTAATCAGGGATCCCTTTAAACAAATAAAGTATTCAGATTTGTTGCTGGAAATGGATGTGTCAATTAATCTAGATTAATTAATTTGCAGGTTTCCCTTATTGAATTTTTTTTTGCAATTTTCTAGGTTTCAATTGGGGGAAAATAACCCAATTTAGTCAATTCTGATCAATAAAATCTAAATTTAGGCCACTCTTTTGTTGAAAATGCTTGCTGTACTCAGACAAATTTAATAAATTAATTAAAAGCATGATTGGAGTGCAGCAAAATCAGCTTTTCAGTTGAAGTCACTAGATAGATGTGGAAAAAGCTACCAGTCTGGTTATTTAAAGACAAATAATTGGTATTGTTGCCAATTTATTTTTAATTTTAAGATTTTACTTTGTGATAAATTTACCCTAATAATAAACAGAAAGTCTATCTGCATCAAACAGCTGTGCTGGGAGGATACATTTGTAAACAAATTAGTATAATTTTTGAACTGAGGTCAGGGGCCACAAAAAATCAGTTCAGGGGCCATAAATGGCCCCCGGGATACACTTTGGACATCCCTGACTTAAATCATCTCATAAGGTGAGCAGAGGGATGGACAGATGGGACTAAAGCGATCCTGTGGAGCAGGTCTCCCTGATGATGCACACCAAATCTGGTGCAGATCGGATCATGTATGTGTGATTTAGAGCTAACCGTGTGCAAACAGCGAGGCATCAGCATGTGAAGCATGTTCAGAGCTGTAGGGGGATTTAGCTCAGATGTGCAAGAAAAGAGACAAATTGATATCTTTGATCCAAAACGACTGACTTCCAGTGGGGAATGCACCACCACTCAAAGAGAATTTCTTTTTAGATCTTGAGACATTACACGTGTACCAAATTACAGATTTCATGATGTCCGAGCACGGCTTGGGGCTAATTTTTTTGAATAATTGTAGGAGGTGCTGTGGAGGAAATAGGCCCTGCCCCACAAAAGTTCAGTTGTATTTTGTATGAATGTCTTAATTTTGAAATGATTTATCATGGTTTTCTTTTTTACAACAAAAAATATAATTTTTAACAGGTGTGGAGACTTTTATATCTTTTGGACATTACACACGTGAACAAACTTGTTGGTACCCATCTGTTAAAGACCAAAAATAAATAAATCACCGGCCCTACCTGTGTCTTGGGAGGGAAGGTAGTGCTGGAGGTCATCAAGTCTGGTTTTCAGCTTTGCATCTAAGGAGGAGCAGAAGCTCTGAACACAGGGTGTAAGTGCCTGCGTCTTCATCGCCAGGCCACTCCTTTGCTGYTGAGGACCCCGCTGGGCCACACTGACCCAAGCTGCATCGCTCAACAGGTCYCCCGGCGTCTCGGACCATAAGAACGAGGCCACGTCTGCCTCATAGAGAGCCTCGCAGCTGGAGCTGGGGTTGGCGCCAGAGGGCGACCCAACATTCTGACCCTCCAGATCTTTWACAGCCGAGGTCAAGAGCTGGACAGAACTCGCAGCAATGGCTTCGGTTTCTTCTTTGKTTATGGCCTTTGGGAATGGAAAGAAGAAACTATTGGAACATTACAAAATGTACATCGTGTCGCTCAAGTCATTTCTGAATAAATATCAAGTCTTCAGGTGAAGCTCGATGACTCAGGACTGGCTAAGGAGGGCTGCGCCATCCAACCTCAGAGCTCGGCTTCACCAAAAGGCTGGAGGACAATAAAGCCATGCTACGGTGCAGCTAGGCAGCARTAGACAAACTATTTGAAATGAGCACCAAAACTATCCAAAAAGTAAAAATAAACTAAATTAGAATTWAAAAAAACAAGATTAACAAAGCAACTGTACTTCTCTTCATGGAGTGTTTTTAATTTCAAATGACAGAGTATGATATTTCTGGCTTTAAACTGCATGAAATGCTCCATTATGTAAAACACTAACGTGCAGATTAAGCTCACTCATCAGTGGAGAGTCGTTCTGTAGGGGTGCACCAAAAAATCGTTTCACAGAATCGTGATTCTCATTTTCAAAGATTCAGAATTGATTTAAAATGTCCCAAAATTGATTTTTATAAATAAAAAAATAAAGCAAATCCAAAGGCTGTCAACCTCCATTTTGTAACTACATGGGACGTCCTGACGTCATCACACAGCTCTGGAACATATGAATGTGCAGAAAGCACCAAAGCAAAGAGGAAACTACAAAACTGGAGGAAAGAGAGATTCAACTGACCACTGTCTTCATTGAATGCAAAGATTTGGGCTCATTTTGTTTTTTACTGAATCAGTCTGAGTTTTACTGAGCTTGCGAGGGGACAAGGGGAATTTTTTTTCTTTTTGCGTTCCCACACAAAAGTATAGCGTTACCTCGCAATACCTTTTGCGTTCCCTCGCAAAAGTAGTTTATGACTGTTGTGCCTGCCGGTTTATTAACAAACTCACACGTTTACCATTAGCGAGTTAGCCTACTGCTTTAACTCAGCTTCAGAATGAATATATCACACAGCCACGCATGGAAGTATGTCATATACCGATATTTTAACAGTGCAGCCACGCAACATCAAAGTCAATTTCATGAACTTGTGGCGACACATCCTGTTTTGGTAACCGGATATTTCAAAATAAAAGTCTGGTTTAATTCAGTTCATATACAAATCAAACTTTTGCATGGGAACACAAAACAATATTGCGAGGTAACGCAAAAGTATTGCGAGGGAACACAAAAGAAAAAATTCCCCCCATATCCCCTCACGGGGTCCGTAGAATTTGAGATGAGCGAGGTTTGAAGATTGCAAAATCGATTTTTCATTCAAAACTGACAACGTGAGTGCAAGCACTTTAGAAACATGACAAATGCACTCACATTGTCAGTTTTGAATGAAAAATCGATTTTGAATCGAATTGTGGCCCCAAAAATCAGTATCAAATCGTGAGTAAAAGATTCCCACCCCTGTTGTTTAGGTTTTTGTTTGACTGGCTAACAAGATAAATGTCTTGCTCACACATGCATAAAGGTGTGAATTAGAGAGGGAAATGGGCCGGATCAGGCTTAATCCTGAGTTCATGAGTTGAAGGTGGCCCATTTTGCAGAAGAACTTCTACTGCAGGGCTATTCAACTGGCGGCCTGCGGGCCACATCCAGCCCGCAACTGGTTCACTCATCTCTTAAGCCCAAACCCCTAGTTTTCTACTTTAATTACTCTACATTATTTGAGTTAAACATAGACATGTTTGGTATCTACAGAAACATCAGAAACTTGGCTAGAAGCAGGTAAAAACCATTTCTAAGCACACTCAAGACAGTTAAAACTACAAGCAGTTGAAGATAAAACTATGAAAGTGAAAATAAAATTGGTTTAAAAAGTTGGCAAGTCAGAGATGTCAAAATAATATTTGTGTTAAATACGAGGCATGATGTGTTATTTTTGTTTTTGATATTGTTTTATTATCACAACTATTATTACATAGGGTTCTGTATGTTATATTCATGATTAAATACAGCAAAATAAACTATTTCAAAGGTAACAGATCTTTGTAATACTTGGATCATTTACATAACTTTAATTGCTGGGTGTTCTGAGCTGTTGACCTGTAGTAGCTGTGGCCCCCGGAGCAGTTTAGTTGAACAGCCCTGTTCTACAGGGTTTCCCACAGCGTATTAATTTTCATCCGATTGCCCACCCCTACCAAACGCTTTAATATTGTAGCTTGAGAAAAACCAACCTGAAGGCGCTGAAGGAAGAGCTGCTGCAGRAAGTCATCCCAAACAGCCAGGGGGCGCCCCAGAAGCTGCTGGCACACGTTGCTCCAGTGCTGACTGATGGAGTCAGTGGACAGAAGGTCCCACACAGCATCTCTAATGGCTGCTAACCCCTTCAGGCTTTTGACGTAGACCAGAAGGCTGCCAACACCATGACAGACATCCTCTTTGCAACTGAGAAAAGAGAATACGAACGAACAAACGCTGATTAAAGCTGTAAGATGTGCAGAAGAAGCAACGTGTGAACGCCGTCCAGACAAGCTGCCACTTTCTCTGAAACGGAGCTAATTTAAAATGCACCGAGTTAAAGTTTAAAAATGTTTTGCGGTCTCATCTCCACACTGAAGAGGAAACTGACCAGCCTGTTATCAGTACACAGTTCAAAAGTTTGCCTCTTTGATGGTATGGGGATGCATTAGTGCAGGGCTATTCAACTGAAACCTTGGTTCACTCATCTCTGAAGCCCAAACTGCTGGTTTTTATTTAGATATATAGACATGTGGTATCAACAGAAACATCAGAATCTTTTCTAAAAGCTGGTAAAAACCATTTCTATGAACACCAGAGACAGTTAAAATTGCAAGCATTTAAAGATAATACTACATGTACTAAGATAAGTTAAATTAAATGGGTTTAAAATTTTGGCAAGACTAAGATGTTAAAATAATGTTTGTGTGAAAYAGCAAGCATAATGTATTTTTTGTTTTGTTTTAATTGCTCTACTTTCGTTACATAGAGTTCTATAGGTTGTATTCATGATTAAATGCAGAAAAATAAACTAATTCAAAAGGTAACAGATCTTTGTAATACTTGGTTTATTCACAGAATGACTTTAATTAATGGATGTTTGGCTCCTGCAGTAACTGTGGCCCTCAGAGAAATTTAGTTGAATAGCCTTGCATTAATGCCTCTGACATGGGCAGCGTATACATGTGGAAAAGCACCAACAAGTTTTAGAACAAATGCTCCTGAAACATTGGTCACGACATGAAACAAACAAACAAAACATCTAGAATCCTATAACAGATTTTTTTTAAATAAATGGTACAACTTTTGTGTTTAAACACTTAATTTGTTTACTCTGTTTCATTGAGAATAAAATATGGAATTACACGATTTGCAAATCAATGTACCCTGTTATTATTTACATTTTACACAATGTATAAACAGAGCTGTACGTATTGTTTCTAATGTACAGCAACATGCCTCAGAGGTTGGAAACACATGGTAAAGGATTTTAGGTGGTGGACTGACATCATTACCAGCTGAATTCGAGTTAAGCAGGAAAACCAGCATATTAACGTGTACTTTTTTTTTTTAGAAAAGTCAGGAAATGTTAAATTATATAAATGCTTTTTTCCTGCTTCTTATATTTTCAGTAAAAGAGTAATTTCCTGACATGCCTTTACGGC